CAGTGAATAAAGCCATCATCTGAGTACATTTTGCAGCGATTTGAGGCTAACTTATCAAAGCACCATATTATCCTACATTTAAACAGTTTTGAAAATTTTTGAAAAATTTTCTAAACTGTACAGCACTCCTCTGACTTCCAAAATAGCATATACTACACATGAACTAATATTTTAAAAAGAAAGAGGTCTTCAATATGTGCCTTGAGGGGCAAGGCATTCCAAACAAAGAGGATAAAGAAAATCTGAACAAAAGCCCCTAGCAAGGCTGTTCCCTCCCCGCTCCCTTCCTTCCTTAATTGAGTGTTAACTGTAGGTTAGGAAGTGGTCCTTGTCCCAGCAGAATGCAGGGGCTAAAAGGGAGAAGACATCAAGTTAAATGAGAGAGAAAATGTTATAGGGCATGTGATTGGAGGCAAGACCTCCCTTCCCCTTTAGCCCCTTCTTTTCTTCTTCTCTTTTCTGCTGTGTGTGTGTGTGTGTGTGTGTGTGTGTGTGTGTGTGCGTGTGCGTGTGTACATATATACACGCGATTGATTTTTTAACGACATGGGTTTGAATGCAGGGGTCCTTTTATATGTGGGATCTTTTCAACAATACATACAGTACTATAAATGTATTTTCTCTTCCTTATGGTTTTTTAAATAACATCTTCTTTTCTCTAGTTTAAGAATATAGTATATAATACAAATAACAAACAAAATATGTGTTAATTGACTGTTTATGTTTCAGTAAGGCTTCTGGTCAATAGTAGGCTATTAGTAAAGTTTTTGGGGAGTCAAGTTATACTTGGATTTTTTATTGTGGTGTGGTGGTTGGTGTTCTTAATCCCTGTGTTGTTGTTCAAGGGTCAACTGTATATATATATATATATATATATATATATATATATATATATATATATATATAAAATCAAGTAACTTGAAGAACATACAGAACAATGTAAAAAAGAAGAAATCAGGAAGGGAAATTTGAAAGTAAGAAAATATGGAAGTCAGGTTAATCAACAAATTATATTTCTTAAGTCTTGTCTAAGTAGCTCACTGTTGGCCACAAGTGTACATCTGGCTTCCTAGCAGCTAGTGCAAAGGGGACTACACAACCAATTGCATAATTCACAGCATCTATAAGATGAAAACTTGAGTTACCAAGAAACTACATGGATTAAGGTGCAGTGTTATAACAAGGCATTATGGGATATACTCAGCAATGTCCTCAATAGCATCTCTTATTGTACCAAAACATTCTGCAGGGCATGACAGAAATCTGTAGTGTTGGAGAAAATAGAAAAGAGAGAATATTAAATTCCAGCTGCAGCTAAACTTCCTGCTGGGATTGGGCTGGGTTGAGCCTCCACCTACAATTTCCTTTAGTTCATATTCTGCTTTAAGTGCTGAGGTGGAGGTATGCACTGGAGGTTATGGGAGTGGAGAGGGATACTCACCTCTGCCTGCACTGGAGAAGTGTAGGCTAATGCCTGGGGCCTGGAGGAGATGATGCCTGTGGAGGGATCCCGTGGGAACTGTCCAGGGGAAAAGGCAGGGAAGGCATTCCATGCATGAGATAATAGCACCGATGGGGCACAGAGGTATGGAGAGTGCTGACAGGGAGCTATGGGCAGTTTGGCACTGGAAAAATGTGAAATAGGAGGCCAGGTACGATGGGAGATGGGGCTGAAGACGTAGGCAAGGGCTAGACTGTGCCCATCTTGCTCTGCTAAGAAATGTGGCTTTGCTCTGTGGGAAGATACTGACATGCTACTGAAGGGGTTAAGCAGGGGAGCTCTCTCTGCTAACTATTGCATTAATGTATAATAAATGTCCCCAAAACTCAGTGGCTTAAACAACAATCACATATTCTGGTGCACAGATCTGTCTGTGAGGGGAGGGAGAGTATCCTTAGGGTGCATGTCGTCAGGTTGCCTGGGGTGGCCCTGTGTGGGGCCCAGACTGAAGGAATAACAGCTACCCGAGGTTAGCTCTTTCCCCAGTGACATGTGGAAGTATAGGAGGGTGAGTCGACAGGCAGATGTCTCTGGAGGCCTCCTCAGAGAAAGAAATACACCCTCCTGTACACCTACATTCCATTAGCAAAGCAAGTCCTATGGCCAAGCACCATGTCATCAGAGGGTGAAGATAAACTCTGTCTCCTCAGTGGGAGCTATTGCAAAGTCACATGACAGACAGTGGTATGAATTATGCTGGGAAGTTTGTTTCATTTTAGCATAGAACTCTTGAAGAACAAACCTGTGATGGAGGGAAAGAAAAAAAAACACAACCCAAAAAGCAAAACAGATATAGAGATTCCTATTTCCAGATAAGGGGCTGACCAAATGTAATATCAGTAATGATAAAGTTGCAATTCTGCAGATAACCTGATAGAACACTTCATATACATTACCTCATTAGGTGCTTGAGGTTAGATGATTTGTTCAAGGAGAACTAACAAGTGACAAAGACGGGACACACATTTTTCTGACTTGTATTTTTTTCACTTACATTTTCCCTTTCTGTACCAAAAGTGGTCTTAGGAACTGGGTTGAGGAGCTCAATCTGTGTACATGAGAGAGGGGAGGTATCCAAGAAATATTGTACTAGACATAGTGCAACAGGAAAGGAAGACTTTATTCAAGACTATTGCAATAGGAGAGAAAGAGAGAGACTGAACTCAGCTCCATTGACATAAAAAGTAGGAGGGTTTTTAAGCCTTCAGATGATCTACTGGGAAAGTGCTGGTGGGTGGTGGGAGTGGGAGTGGGAGTTGGTCGATATGCTTAAGCCACCTGTGTTTGCTAATCAGCACTCATTGAAGTTAGGCTTCCATTCTCCCAGACAGACTGGGGATATGGGTGCCCTATCTCTGATGGTCCCATTTCGATCGGATGGCTTTCCAGTTCTTGAGAAACATTCCTGGGTAGTAAAATTGGTGAGAAGCTGGTAGATGATTTACATCTCAAGCGAGCAGAGAAATAATTTACAATGGTAAGTTTTCTACAGTAAATACTCTAAGAAAAGGATGGTTAGTGGTCTGTGGTCAGGAAGAAACCTGTCTAAAGTTTAGTCAAGCAGAGGGGAACTTTAAGGCCATTTAGGTCAGAGGGCAGCACCACCTTTCCTTACTCTCCAGGAAGCCAGGTCTCAGAAGTTCCCAGCTGATCATCTCCTAACAGGCGGCAGCCTTATCAGAGGACATGTGCTAAGTAGCTGGTGCAGGGACTCGGATTTAGATCCTAATTCAGGTGGAGATGACTCTCTGCATCCTGGTTTCATGAAGCCCCAAGGGGGTAAATCCCTGCTGTTTTCTGGTCCTTTCTCCATTCTAGAGGAGAACATTCACCTAAATGACATACCCAGGACCAAATGCATCCACTTCTTTAGGCAAAACAAACAAACAAAAACACTTTCAGCTCAGAGACATTCCAAAGTGACTGCACAAGAGGGTAGAATCCAGAAGGTGGAAGGGACTCTTGTAGCCCAAAGATAGAACCCAGGGACACATAGTCCCTCCTTCCAGAAATTACCATCATAAAAAGCCTAGCCAATAAGTACAGGGCAGCCTGCCTCGCAGAGGAGAATGGAAATCTCCTTTGCTGGCATTTCAGCTTGCCTAAGGGGCTGTACTTTGCTCAGAGGGGAGGTGACCTGACCTTAAAATACAGGCCTCGGGAAACAGGCGATTAAGCTATTTTATTTTTCTCTTAAGACTGATGTTTTTCAAATGCAAATCTAAAAGACCCAGTTCCTTCCCCTGAAGCTTCTTAGCAAAGCAGTGGATTTTTAGAACAGACTAAGGCCTGGGGACTGGCGGTCCCTAAAGAGCAGGGCCCTGAACTGAAGCTTCTCTACCCGCTTTCAGAGCATGAGTATTTTTTGAAACGTTCCTTCTCCAACATCATCCCCACCCCCCTTTTCTTCCCACCGACCTCTTCTTTCCTTCTCCAAACAGACAGTTACCCCTGAGTCCTGCTGCTCATCTTTCCTGTACCCCAATCCCTCCAAATACCAAGCTTCTCTCATTTAAGTCGGTAGCTGTGTCTCCTGCCTGGTGACTAACTTGGTGGGCCGAGGAGGGAGCTGCTTTGGCCACACGATGGTGCGCGCGAGCCTCCAAAAGCTTGGGCGGCCACTGCTTCTCACGCTTCTCCCCCGACCCGTCCCATCCGCGCCCCGGCGCTGAAGGAGCCGTGCCCCCGGCATTCCCCAGCGGGATAGCGGGGAGCGCACCTCCGGAGCCTGGGAGGCAGTCGAGCCGCAGCTGTGTTCGGCTGGCTCGGGAGGTGCGGGCTGCGGGCGGCCCTGGCTCGAGGCTCCTCCTTCTGAGGGTCCAGCCTTTATCCACCCCCCAACCCCCCCACCCCTCTGTGGCTCGGCTCTGCAAATCCAAAGCTTCCCGGAACAGCCTAGGAGCGGCGGCGGGCGCAGCGAGGGCGGTGGGAGGACCGCAGCCAGCCGTTCAGCCCTGCCGAGCCTGCGGGCAGCGGCGGCGGCGGCGGCGCTAGAGCTGCCCGGTAGGCGCCGCGGAGTCCGACGTGCCCTTGCCTGGCTAGGAGACGAAAGAAGCCTCGGAAGGCTGCTGGGCAAGGCGGAGGAAAGTGTGCGTGTGTGTGTGTGCGCGCCGGAGAGTGGGGGCGACAGTTTCGAATTAGGGCGCCGGAGAGGGCAGGGGAACCGGGGTGCGGCCCGCTCGGCGCCCCCCTCGGCGCCTCCGCGGGCTCCCTAGGTTCTCCCCGGGCGGCGCCAGCTCCCCTGCGCCTCTCACCATGGACTTGTGCGGAGTTGGGACGCGCCTCGGCAGCAGCGCGCGGGTGGATGCCCGGCTCTGGGGGTGCGCGGGCGCGCGCGCCGCGATGGCGAGGTAGGATGGCCGCCCAGCGCGACCCTTGTCGCCCCAACCCAGCGGCCCCTGGGCGGTGCCGTTGACTCGCCGGAGCACAGAGGGGTGTGGGCGGAGGCGGCCCCGCTGCGCCCGTGCTTTTGGGTGTCGCTTCCCTTCTTCCACCCACTCGCACCTGCCGCCGCGCGGATATCATGTCGAAGGCCGCCGGAAGCGCAGCAGCGGCGGCGGCGGCGGAAAGTTGTCCCCCAGCCTCCGCCGGCCCATCCGCGGCCGCCGCCGTGGAGGACCTGTCCAAAGTATCGGATGAGGAGCTGCTGCAGTGGAGCAAGGAGGAGCTGATCCGCAGCCTGCGGCGCGCGGAGGCCGAGAAGGTGAGCGCGATGCTGGACCACAGCAACCTCATCCGCGAGGTGAACCGCCGTCTGCAGCTGCACCTCGGCGAGATCCGCGGGCTCAAGGTGAGCGCGGGGTCGGGCAGGGAGTCCGGGCTCCGCGGGGCAGGGAGCGGGACGCCCCGGAGAGGTGGGGCCAGGCTAACTTTCCCTCCCTCCTTCAACAGGTGATCCTCCCCATTGTCCTAGTCAGCACCCCTTGCTCCCCATCCCCAGCCCTTGGGAAACTTTTCCAAACTTTGGATGCGTTTGGTTCCCTCCTCTTCCCTATATGGGGCGCGCCAGCGTCCAGCTCCCTCTCGGGGTTCTCTGTGGCCAGAGGAACGGGCGCCTAGGATGCTGAAAGGCTGGGAGGAGGTGATGGGCATGCGGAACCTTTAATTTCCTAGGGAGCCTGGCAAATCAGTGCTTTGGGGAGCCGGGTTACAGCCTGGCAGGGGAAAAGGCGGGCGAGCGAGCGAGGGAGCGAGGCCAGGGCATTTTCACCCTTGGGGTTTCGGGATACCATACGGCTAGTCTGGCGCCACGTCTTTTCTGGCGGGCAGAGGGTGAGGACAGGGTACAGTGCTGGGCAGAGGGGCGCCCAGGAAGAAGCCGCAGGCGCCATCCTCGGAGCTGGCGTATATATCATAACCCTGTGCAGAAGAGCCTGAGCTCTCTGCCTTTGCGTTTTCTACCTGCTCCAGAGCTTTCTTTCTTCCGGAATTCGGATGGCGTCATCTAGGGTTGCGTGTCCCCTCTGCCCCCTGTCCACCCCCACCCCCAGATTGATTTTAATTTGATTTAGCATGGGGGTGGGGGAGCAAAGGGACTCGGTATGGGAGGCGCAGTGTTTTGAAAGGGTACCCCAAGTGTCAGCCAGCTATGCTTGCTTTTTTTGAGCCAGCTCTCCCTCTTTGATATTAGGCAAAAGAAAATAAAACCAACAAAAAAACCCAGTCCCCCCCACCAACTTTCTTTTCTCCTCGGAGAGATCTGAGTGTGCCAGCAGTGTGCCTGCCCGGTTGGCTGCAGCATACCGGTGGCGGGGAACCGCCCTGCCGGCGAGCACCACAAAGTTCCTCTCCTCACTGCTTGCGCTGGTGCCTCCTGGTATTCCTTCCTCTCATTGTTCTGCTTTTGTTTATAGGAAGCCAGACACAAACGAAATCACTGCAGGGACCATAGGGAGCAAATTCCCGCAGGCACATGCTGTTCTTGTCCCCTTTCCACTCCCACCCACTTATCAGGCGGTCGACACTTTCTGAATTGCCTCAGTGCTCCAGCTCTGGGATTCTGGCGCAAAGAGAAGGGGGGGGGGGAGGAGCAAAACGCCAAATGCTCACCTGGGTGCTGGACCCACTCCAGGTGGAGGTCCCCCACTCCCCCAGGCTCCAACCGACTGTCATATAGTCCCTAGAGTGGGTGCTATTAGGAAGATTCCACAGTCAGAAAAATCCCAGGGCTTCCTTTTTCCTTTGGTTTAATTCATTACTAATGGAGTATTTATTAAGTACCAGGCTCTTAGGAGATTAGAGACAGGCTAGTGTAGCGGTAAGATCATCTCAGAGGTGGGTTTAGATCTAGAATCCTCATTTACCAGGAGGGTGAGCTTTGGTATTTAATTTCTCAGAGCCTCATTTTACTCATCAATAATACGCAAATGATAATAACCATCTCCTAGGGGTTGTGACAATAAGTTATGATAATGTAGGGGAAGGTTTAGTGCTGGACTTGACTACAAAAAAACTAGTTATTCTCACCAGGAGAGGACATGTAAATGTGTAGCTGTGTGTCTCCAGGATCTGGGTTTCCTAGGCAAAGTTAGAAAAAAGTACAGTTGATAATCCTCCAATTTAATCTTGTTTCATGGTATGAACTACTGTATAATGTGACTTGGAAGAGTTTTAAATTAATCAGTTAATTGTATGGAGCATTGACATAATAGCTCAGAAATACTTGAAGTTCTTTCAGTTTGTGTGGATTGACTGAGTGTGTGTGGGTCTATGTGTGAGTGGTGAGGGGCCTGGTCTCCATTCTGCTAGCTTCATTTAGAGAAATTCCTATTAGGCCAGTTAAGGGCAGTTACACCCCAAGTAGGGGAGTCTCCCGGTTGTTTAGGTTTGTGACCCGACATTAAAAGCCTTTCCAGTACACCTCCTTAGCAAGGTCAGAAATGATGGGGGTGGTTGCTTTCTGATATAGCCTCCACTACTCCTTCCCATTGTCCGGAGCAGCTGGTATATCCAAGACCTCTAACCCACCTCTGGGGGGGAGGGGGCTGTGGTAAAGCCCTGCTGAGAGGCCAGTTTTCTCCCTTCTCTTCATCATCTCAACTCAGAGCTTCCCTGGACACCATAGTAATCTGTAAATGTGGTTGACTGAATAATTCTAGAAAGAAGGGATCTTTCTCTCTCTCTCTCTCTCTCTCTCTCTCTCTCTCTCTCTCTCTCTCTCTCTCTCTCTCTTTTCCCTGATGGTTTGAGATTCTCAGTTGAGGACTGTAAATTTAGGGTATTAAGGCCATAACACTTTCTCTTTTTAATGCCCCTTTGTGTACTGCTTTTGAAATTAACTCTAAATATTTTCAAGGCTACTAGGTGGTACTGCAGCTGTAGACATGGGAGATGGGAGCATCAGTTCGGTTCCTCTGAGGGGCCTGCGACTCTGTTCAATCAGTGGCAAACTTGTTTTGTATTTAATCATTTAGGAGGTAGTGCAGTGTGGGACAGTGGAAAGACAAAGAATTGGAGTCTGACAGTTTGGGTAGCTTGGGCAAACTGTTAACCTCTTTAAGCCTCAGTTTCCTCAGCTGCTAACTGGGGATATTAATTCCATATGAGGTTTGATGAGGATTAAATGACACATAGATGAAGAAACCCCCAGTGAGGTTAGCTTTCTCAAGGTCATACAGACACAAAATGCTCAAAATAGGCTGACTTTCTTTTGGCTAGCTGACATTCTGTGTTTAGAATGTGTGGTCCTGAAACGGATGGAGAAAGGGGATTAGGGTTCTGATGTTGTACAGAACTGGATTCCTGAGAACCATGTTTGTGCACTGCTGAGCATATACCAACACTTAGGCTGCTCTGACCTGGGATTTCAGGGAGCAGGGGGTGAGTTTGGGGGAACTGGATCTCTGTAGATTTGTTATTTGCAGCACATTCATTTTCCTCCTTGCTCCCTAACACAACAATTCCCTACCCTGCAATGATGAAAAATAGCAAACTAAAACATTCTTCTTTAACCACAGATACAATATTTGAGTCCTATGAATGAAATTTTGGATGCTATGCCATGAAGTGGGTTTAATCTTTTAAAAGTCCACTTTAGGGCCGGCCGAATGGCGCGTTGGTTAGGAGGTGACTTGTGACGCCAGTTCTGAGCAGCAGGGCCCCGGTTTGGATCCCACATGAGGGCCTGTGACACTGCGCCCTCTACAGCTAAGATGGTGAACAACAGCTCCACCTGGAGCTGGGCTGCTGTGAGTCGCTGATGATGGCGTAGGCTGCAGTGGGGCTGGCCGGCAGGGAGCGTGAGCTTTTGTGAGTGGCTGGCAGCCGCCGTGAGCCACCGTGAGCGGCCGTCCAATGGCCGGCGAGTGACTATCTCACCCGGGAAGAGCACAATGATGGTGCCAACATGGGCCAGTAGAGCGATGTCCTTCACATCTAGACTGAAGAACAAAAGGACAGCAACTTGTCTGTTCCCCTTCCTGGATACCCCAACGCTGTTCCCCTCCCTCAATTCCCCAATAAAATCTTAAAAAAAAAAAGTCCACTTTAGACAGATGGGTAACATCTGGTGGCCTATAGCAATGTTAAGAGGCCACTTGGTGTTTTGAAAAAGAAAGCCCAAGTCTTGATATGGCAGATTCGGAGAAGCAGACTCACAAGGTTGTTATTAAGCTGGTTGCTTAGCTGTTTATCAGAAAGCAAAGGCAATAGCTCAATAAATTGGAGCGTTAATAGCATTCCCAAGAAAACTGATACTAGGAAGAAGGAGCTGTGATAAAGAAAAATGACGGGGCCAATACCCACTCCTTTTTGCCCCAACTGGAATTTTGAGAAGCTTGTTTCACTCCATTTTGAAAGTGCATTAACTCCTTGAATTCCACAGCAGCAAAAGTCCTGTTTACTTCCCAGTTCAGGAGATAGCAGGAGTAGTTGTAAGATAGTCAAAGGGAAGTATTTTCAGATGGAAATTTAGTCAGACGAAGAGCATGACTTGAACTTTTATGAAATGCCAGGATTAAACTAAATGTGGAGTAATTTCTGAAGCTTAGAAAGATTAATTTTGTTTAGTATTATCTTCTCAGAATACCCACAGCTTCTGATTTCCCCTAAAGCATCTGTGTCGGGGGATTTTCATTTTCTTATTATTGTAGACTCCAACATAGCAGGAGCTTGCTGAAAACAAGAAATTCTTTCTCAGTAGCCAGAGCTGTATCCCGTTTTGACCACAGGCTTAGAGATTTAAAGGGCTGGTCAGTCCATAAACATATATTAAGTGTTCACACCATGCCAGGTATGTTAACTTGCAAAGAAAGATATTGGAATGGACTCTGCTCTCCAGAAGCTAAGACATCTACATTAGAAAAGAAATAAAAATGATGCCCAATGAGTGCTCTAGCTAGTGTGTCTAACAGGCATTAAGCAGTGAGTGGCAAAGTTCGTTCATTCATTCATTCATTCATTCATTCATTCATTTCATTCATGCCTGCTACTGCTGCATGCCAGGTGCCATTCTAGGGTTAGAGGGAATCTTCTCAGAGGAATCTCTCCTCTTATAAGTTCATACACTGGAGAAGATAGTATTTTCTAGTTGGAAAGCTAAACAAAATCAGGGTTCATAATTAGCTGACATAGAGGGAGCTAAGTGTGGAAAGGCAGGGGAAAGCCTTTATTTATTCATTTTCCCTGGCAAAGGGGAGTTGATGGGGGTTGATATGCAGGAGAGATACACACGCAGAGAGTGTTTTTGGTGATCAGTCAGGCCAATGAGAGCCTGGGTGAGGGAACGGGGCAGACCAAGGCAGGGAGGCCGGGCTTTTGGAAATGGTACACCTCAGGTCAGAAAGTGGCAATGAGAAGCAAAAGGAATAGATGGGCATTAGAGACAAGGAAACAGTTGTTGGTAATGTCTAGAGTTAGAATTGGAGTTGAGTGCTGAGCTTCATGGACTCTCTTCCTCAGGTCTTGAACATCACTCCCATCTCAGGTCTCATGACTATCAGGAGGTACAGGGCTTAGATGGCAGATGTTTTCTAGTTTATTTTCTAGTCAATAGCAGGCAAAGTGTTGGAGTTAATCTGAGTTTCAGAGAATTAAGTCTCCTCTCTGAGTACCTCTGGTTCTAGATTGGATGATGGAGTCACAAGGCCAGACGTTTCCAGGCTTTGTACAGCAAGGGAAACCTTAGGTAGCTGCCCCTGTTTTACCCCTACCAAACATGCTTAAGGAACTGTTACCCTTTTTACTATATATATGAATGGAGAATCATGGGAACTTCACAACTGATTTTAAAATTCCTTGGTTTCAAGTATATATGGTAGGGGCGCAGTGTTCTGGATAAACAAGTGAACAGAATAAATGGTGGGGGGCGGTCTCCATTGTCATGACTTTACTGTGGTGAAGAAGGAGATATGAGTAATAGCCACATTCAACCATATGTCATCCAACCATATGTGATTACAAGTTGTCATAAGTACAACAGAGAGGAAGTCTAAGAGGTCATGGTAGAGCATAGAAGGGAATCTCCTTTAGATTAGAGGGAGTGGTCAGGAATGGCTTATATGGGGAAGGAACATAAATTAAGACCTGAAGCTTGTGTAGAAGGCTGGGGGAAGGCATTCCAAGTGAAAGATGGGAAGGGTTTCTCTTTTGAGGCCCTGAAACAAGGTCAGTGTTGGTGGGGCTCAGTGCATGATGGGAAGGGAATGTTCTCACCTTCTTCACTGCTACCATGTGTCCAAGCCACCATCATCTCCTTTTACCTGGACTAGCCCAGTAACCTCCTAGCTGGTCTCTGATCTTCCACCTTATCCTGGCTCCCTGTCTTTTACCCACTCTTCCCTTCACCCCTAGCCAGTGTGTTTTTCACACACAACTATGGCGATTCCTTACAAAATGAATCATATCATGGCACTCTATCCTTGGCCTTCTGACAGTCCAAAGTACTTCCCGTGGCTGACAAGGCCCTGCATTACCTGACACCTCTCAGACCTCCGTTCCCAGCTCTGCCCTTTTTGCTCACTTCGCTTTTGGCATGCTGGCTTCTCTGTAACTTGAGCCACATTTGTCTCGGGGCTTTTATACTTGCCCTTCTCTCTTCCTGGGATCATCTTCTCTCAAATGTTTGCTCCTTAATTTCACCTGTGTCTTCGCCCACATGTTTTCCTTCTCAGCAGAAGTGCCTTCCCTTAAAAAATAGTATTTAATCTGCTTTACTTTTCTTCCCAGCACCTTTCACTACGTGGCATGTTCTGTACTTGCTTTTGGCCAGCCTTTCCTACTGGAATGAAAGTCATAGGATGTCAAGGTCTTTGCTGTGTCCCCTGATGCATCCCCAGCATCTGGACTGGTACCTAGCACATAGCAGAGGCTTACTCAATGTTTGTGAATGAACCAATGGCTCACCATTCATGCTGGAGAAGTAGGCTGGGTCATACGACTGGGGCCTAGCAGAGGCTTGAAGGATTTTGCACTTGATCCTAAGGGCAGTGAGAAGCTATTAAGGGTTTTAGGTGTGGGAGCGATGAGATGAGATAAATGTTGGAAGTAGAGTTCAGAAGACTTGTTTGGCTCAGAAGTGGAAGGCAAGGTTGAAAGAGACATCAGGCATAACTACAGGTTCTTATACAGAGCAACAGGATGGGTGGAGGTGGCATTTGCTGAGAGGTACAATTTGGGGAGAGGAGTTTGGCTGTCACCCAAGAGCTCAGCATTGCTTGTGTTGCTTGTGTGATGCCTGGGAAAGGTGCAGGGGGTTGGATGTGCAGGATTGAAATGCCACTAGAGGGCAAGTGTGCTGTTCCCTTGTGGGGGCTTTGGGGCTGTGTGTCCCAGTCATGGGTGGAAAACCTAGGCCATGCTTGTCATTTGTGCTGATCAAGGCCTGTTACTTCAGAGCTTTTAAGCATTTCACATGTCTCAAGGAACCATCTTTCTTCCTTGATGGTGAGACAGGGGAGCCTGCTTTGTACTGATTTCCTGTTAACAGCCTGCTCTTTAAATACTGACTGGATGACCTTGCACAAGAGAAGCTTTGTGGAGGCCCAGTTTTCTTTTCTGTAAAACAACGATAATAATCATTACCCCCTAAGTTTTTGGTGAAGAACAGGTGAGATAATACATGTAAAGCATTAGGCACAGAGCATAACCAATGACTATTATTTTTATTTTTATGGACAACTATGAACCTGAAGCTTCCGCTCACCCTCTCACCTCCTCCCCTAACATTACAGGGAATTCACCTATTCTGCACTTTCTCCTTCCAAGTGGGGAAGTCTAAACCTGATATGCCTTCACATGTGTACCTGTCTTGAGTGGTTGCATCTCTTTTTTCAGGATATCAACCAGAAACTCCAGGAGGACAACCAGGAACTGAGGGACCTCTGCTGTTTCCTGGATGACGACCGGCAGAAAGGCAAAAGGGTGTCCCGGGAGTGGCAGAGACTGGGCCGCTTCACGGCTGGGGTGATGCACAAGGAAGTGGCTTTGTACCTGCAGAAGCTGAAGGAGCTGGAGGTGAAGCAGGAGGAAGTGGTGAAGGAGAACATGGAGCTCAAAGAGCTCTGCGTGCTGCTGGACGAGGAGAAGGGCGCGGGCTGCGCGGGCAGCCGCTGCTCCATCGACAGCCAGGCCAGCCTGTGCCAGCTCACCGCCTCCACAGCGCCCTACGTGCGGGACGTGGGCGACGGCAGCAGCACCTCCAGCACCGGCAGCACCGACAGCCCGGACCACCACAAGCACCATGCTAGCAGTGGCAGCCCTGAGCACCTGCAGAAGCCCCGGGCCGAGGGCAGCCCAGAGCACGCCAAGCACAGGAGCACCAGCCCAGACCATCTACAGAAACCTAGGGCCTCCAGCACCCCAGATCACCCCAAAGCACTCAAAGGACCCAGCCCTGAGCACCACAAACCCTTGTGCAAGGGCAGCCCTGAACAGCAAAGGCACCCGCATCCAGGGAGCAGCCCCGAAACGCTGCCCAAGCATGTGCTGAGTGGGAGCCCGGAACACTTTCAGAAGCACAGGCCTGGGGGCAGCCCCGAACACTCCAGGCACAGTGGAGGGAGCCCGGAGCATCTACAGAAACACGCCCTTAGTGGGAGCCTGGAGCATCTCCCTAGAGCCAGGGGCACTAGCCCCGAGCACCTCAAACAGCATTTTGGGGGGAGCCCAGATCACAAACATGTCGGCGGAGGCGGTGGCGGCGGTGGAGGCAGCGGCGGAGGCAGCAGGGAGGGTACCCTCCGAAGGCAGGCGCAGGAGGAAGTGTCACCCCATCACCGAAATGTCTACAGTGGCATGAACGGTAGGTCAGTACGTGCTGGGGAACTGCGTTCCAGACGTGTTAGAAAGAGCAGGCTTTCGCGAGGGTGGGAGTTGAGGGAGGCGCAAACATTGCCCCCCAAATCGTGATGTGTGTTTCTTCCCTTTGATTTGTTCTAGTTTATACAGTTATCAGTCAAGTCAACTTGGAGAAGATTAGGAATGAAAGGTTAGGGGAGGAGGATCAATAATTCCATGGGACCCTGAGTATTCAGGGTGAGATTTGTGGCCATTGTAGATAAAAACAGAACCTTTCTAAGGTTCTTCCATCTTAAACTTGAGCGTTTTCCTAGTTGTGTGTGCAGTGTCCTACTGGGGCTGTCGCTTGTGGAATAGCTGACCGAAACGTTTTTGAATCCATTTAATAGTTTATGTACAGGAAGAAATGAATATTTATTATGAAGAACAGTAACATCATTAAAAAGGAAATATGGCGTCCCTAAACAGGCTTGCCGCCTGTTGCCTGAATGCCTATAACTATGCCTTATTTGACCTTGAAGATGTTTTTCATGGTGTTGAGGGCCTTAGTGTTAATCTGTGACTTGACTTTGCATCTAAAATGCATCAAATGGTTCCCTTCCCTACTCACTCCAAACCCACGCAACCCTCCCATGAAACTCCCTGAAACATTCTGAAATGCATGCTTTTTTACATTGCAAGAAACATCTTTTCCGGTTGTTTAAATGTTCCTCTTTAAAATATACAGATGTATTTGGAAACTCCTTTGGTTTCCAAAGCATAACATCCGCTGCATTTGCTGACGTGGCTCTAAACCTGAGTTTTTCAACCTTTTGGAAGAGGCTTAATTTTCTACATCTTGAATTCAGAGAGGGGGAAAAAAAAAAGTTCTTTAAAAACAAACAAAAAAAACCCCTCGCAGTCCTTTTATGTTACTTATGGTTGAATTGGAACTGAAACGATTGGTTTTATATACTGTGGGGTTTTTTTTTTCATTCAAAGTATCTGCGGTTTTTCGCTTTATATGAAAGCTGCTCCAGACTCTGTGTAGTCGGCTCTGAGCAGTAGCGGCTTCCAATTTTAGCAGTGACACAATGGAGTAAATTTTCAATTTTGTACTTGGGGATTTACCTGTTGGATTCCATTTCATCCTAATCCTTTTCTTGGAGTGCTGAAAATGGACTCCTGAGTTTTGGCTTCTAGTGCATCCAATGTTCTTTTAAGCGACAATGGAACTAGAAAGGAAGGGTGGGAGAGAGGCTGCTGCTGAGGTCTTGGTTGTTTGTGCAGGGAGGTAAAGGCTGGGAGAAGCCAATTCACCCGTTGTGTTGAGGCCTCCTGGCTGGCTGGCTGGCTGGCTGGCTGGAGCTTTTACCAAGTTCATTGTACCTTCACTCACTCTTTCCAGGAGAGGCAGACATGCTGCCCTGATTGCTGTGGGCAGCCTTGGCTGCGCAGTTCTCCCAGGAGGTGAAAGTCATTTAAAAAGATATTTTGGTTGTGTTACATCATGAGATGGGTCATTGCCATGAAGCTTGTCTTCAGGGGGTATGGGGTTAACAGGAAGGTAAAGGTAATGAGTTTTCCATTTTTTGATTACTTTTTAATGAGCGTGAGCAGTAAATGTGTGCACTATTTTAAGGAAACTTTGTATCTTGAACCAAAAAACAAACAAACAAAAATGACTTAGGAGCAGGTGGTTCACTTACTAAACAATTCTTTACAGAAGAATTTTATCTTTAAAATATTTATTTTTAAAATAAGAAACTCATTTAGTTTAATCAACATGGGATTTAACTTATAAGAGATTTAAAAGAATACCTGGCATAAAATAAGGTATGTCACTAGATAAGATGACATTACATCATCATGGCTTGTTGGCTGGATTCAGATAAACTTAGTGGGTCAGGCCAATGTTTTTTAAAGTTTAACAATTTTAAGTTAAAAAGTTTGATGTTGCAAGATACATTATTAGAATGCCACTCTAATGCTTGTGTTTACTTTTCTCATTCTTGAGTGACAAATCTTTGGACAGTTGATGTCCTCACCAAAGTATATTTGTAAGTACATTTGCATTACATTTTTATTTCAGTAATTAATTGGAATATGAAGTGGCACAATGAGATATTTATGGATATCCACCTATAAACTTGGGCATTGGTAGCTTGTATTTATGCTGCCATTCCAAATTAATTTTCGATATGAGTGGTAAGACATGATCTTTTATATTCATAAATCCCCACACACTTTGGTTGTAAACAAATAGGAATCAGTAGCAAGGTTAATCTCAAATTGCAGATTTGCTGAGTCATTTACAGAGTCATTCTGAGATGTGAGTGTTCTGAATGAGCACGTGTATGAACAAAAAGCAGGTGAAAGCAAGTGGGAAATGTGTTCGCATTATGGTACAATGAAATAGAGATGGTGGGATAGTGTCCTATTCGTAAGGATATACATACATCCCCTCCAGAAAGACACACATAGACTCACTGAGGAAACATTAGTGACCACGATTGCTGTTTCACGTGACTGTGCTTTGGGCTTCTTTACATCTTCTTGTGCTTTTGATTATAAACTCAATGGAGGAAGTAGTTAATGAACTTGACCCCCAAGAGTATCCTTTGGTTAAAACAGTTGGCTTAATTTCCAACTGGATCCAAAGATGAATTTTAGGTATTTTTCATTTCTTAAAAATATGTAAGGCTGTATATAGCCATTTTTAAATTAGTAGCTGATTAAGAAAACAACAAAAGCAAAGGCAAAACAAACAGAATAAAACCTCTAAATTGAACAAACTACTCATGAATGCATTTACTTCTTTAGAAGTTATTATTCAAGTATTTCTTTTCAATTTGTAGAGAGTTCCATTTGCAAGGAGGAAGTAGATTCAACCCTTATCACATCTAGACATTAAGGCATTTGTCTATTTATTCAGGTTCCTTGCTGTATTCCAGATTTGTAAATTAAGTAATTGAATAGCCACTTCTAGCTATAATTGTACAAAAAATGAGAACCTTTTTGAGAATTTCCATTGAAATCCGAGGTTGGATTGAACTTTTTTAGGTGAAAGTGTTCCCTTCCACAATGAGACCAAAGGGTTTTGCTTCCAGATATCAGCTGGCAGATCTTTGCTTTTTAACAGTTAACTTTTTAGCCAAGGTCATGGATGTTGTTGATGATTCAGTGTCTTCCAGTAATAATGGCTCTACTTTATTGTTAACCTTCCAGACAAAGGTGAGTCTGATCACCAGGCCCTTACAAGTAGTCCACCCATGGAACATTATGAATTCAGATGATAAAATCATAAAAGTAGTTTTATTTTAATTCTAGAGGCACATATTTCTGGTTATCAGCAACGGAGAAGTAATAAATAAAAGAAACATTACTCTTTACTGTTTTTTTCTTCTAAAAACATTGCTTAATTATCCTTCATTTGACATTTTTGAGCATGTTCCAGTGAGAAAATAGCTACAGGCCCTCCTTCAGTATCACCTTCGTACGCATGAGGAAATTATTCACTTGTGTTAGACAAGGTCCATTTAGAACTACATTTGGCCTGGCCAGATGGAGTGTGCGGGTTGTTAAGTCTTCCTCCTGAAAGCTTCTTACCGCTGCTTTTCTTCTTTTCTGAGAGTATCCCTAGAGATAGAGAGCACAGCCTGTTTCTCCACCAGCTCTTTATCTAGAGCAGGATTTCTCAGCAGCGGCACTATTCACATTTGGGACCACACAATTCTTTGTTGTGAGGGGGTGGTCTTGTGTGTGTTAGGAGGTTTAGCAGCACCCTTGGCTGCCCCTACAAGCCACCCCCAGTTGTGACTAATTACAAATGTCTCCAGACCCTGCCAAACGTCCCTAGGGCGTAGGGAGTGGGCAAAATTTCCCCAATTCAAAACCACTGCTTTAGAGCAGTGTTTTTCTATCTGGCTGCAGATTAAAATCACCATGGTAGCTTTGAAAAAATACCAGTGCCTCAGCCCCACACTCAGGGGCCAATTGAATTGGTCTGGCACTGGGCCCAGGTGTGTTGCAAAAAGAGCTCCTCAGGTGATTCTAATGAGCAGACCCCGTGAAACCCACTGCCCTAGGTGAGCGGTGGTTATATAAGATGGGTTTGTGTGAGGGAAGCTCTCAAACACCCGAGCTTCCTGGGAATAAGGAATAACTTTCTTCGTTGCTGAACTCCAGGGCTGAGAAGGACTGACCCCAGCAGGTACTGTGAATGTCACCCCTCTCAACCAAAAGGGTTTTGCTTCCAGATATCAGACCAAAGCTGATAATGCACTTTGTGGGGGTATGCATTGAAAATTTGAGTTTTGGGCAGGTGGGATTGTTAGGTTAATTTGGGGAAACTCTGGCAGATGAGTAGTTCAAGACTACTCTTTAAAGCCTTCACATCCAGATGGCAAAAGAAGAACATGGGTTTCAAACCCATTTACAGTAGATACCAGTGGTGCATATGTATCATGTAATGCCTGCAATGCTAATGCATGTTTCCCACAAGAGAAGACTGCATTTTAAATCTCCCAGTTTATAGGTTTCACTCTGGGTTGTAAGACTGCTCCTTATTCTTTGTTGAGGTTATTAGTGAGTGCACAAAAAATGCTGATAACACAAAACGGCCTTGTTTATGGAGGTGTAAGAAGCTGTGTGTGGAAGAGTCCAGCAAAGTTTCTCTGAAGCAAGGTTGTCTGTAAATTAACTAGTGGTGCACTATTGCGTGAAGAATCACTCTCATAAATCTTGTATTTTGCTTAGAAAAAGCCAGAACGCCACTTATGAATGAATTTGGACAATAGAAATTGAATGTGTCTTGGGGGAAAATTTTCAACAGTTACAGTATACTAGAACCGATTTTAATTGAGGACCTCTGGGGATATTTTCTATCGTGTGAACTGACACAGAGATGGTTAAAGAACTAGATAACAGTTTTGGATCTTTATACATTAATATGGTAATTTGATAGCATTATATCCACTTTGATGGTACATCAATTTAAGAAGCTTCGAAAAATAATAAATTATT